CTTCCACGATGTAACCCGCTAAGGATAGCACACCAGAGACCAAATATTCGAGTGTGTTCACATTTCTTTTCGCTTCGAGTTTGCCGTCTCTGGAACGCTTTACCGGCGTCCGTGACTACAGCGCCATCTGTGGAGACTTTTAAGCAGAAGCTGGACAATCATGCAGAAATGCATGGTTTGTGTCTCAATGGCTTATCCTCTTAAAATTTGAAACCACACTGTCAATGGATAAGCGTACAAGCTAAATCCCCACGACCCGTCCTGTCTTCTCTCACTTTACCGACTACTCTATCTTTTCTTTGGTCACCTTTATTATTTCATCTTTATATTTCACTTATCTCAAGCTATATTATCTACACTACAACCCATTATTATTACTATTCTGCCTTTATGACTACACCGAATGACCAACGGGTGTTAGGTCAAACAACATTCACGGCAGCAACTCAGTCCTAACATACTGCACACTACAAACCACATTTTGACCGATCCCCGCATCACTCCTCTTGGAGTCTACCAGAGCTAAAGCAGTCGAGTGGCGGGATTTACTACGCATAAGTTCGCCAAAGATCTGGAACCTCTACCTTACAATCAAGAAGCGAGCTCAAAGAAATCACTGGTTTATACTAGCTCGTAATCAGGATATTGGATATTGGCCTTTTATCAAGTGTAATAATAATAATAATTTTTGCTTTACAACAACATAAAAGTGTGTAATACAACAAATAATCAGTCGATTTTTCCAAAAGATGTAGTGTGTAGGCATCACATGTTCAAATGACATACGATCATCTCCAGGATGCTGTTGGTCCACGCTTTGTTTTAATGCTCCAAAAGTAACAAAGATGAAACTCCACTGCCAATATACCTCCATCCAAATTGATTCTTCGCTGTCGCTTAGTACACGTTTTCGCAAATAAGGCTTAGCAGATTATACAAACCGTTACCCAACCACCAAGAAGCGAGCTCAGAAAAATCAATTTGGATAATACTATTTCGTAGAAAGACAACCTCACAAAACAGAACATGTAAGTTCTGCATACCTTCTCTGCTACGGTTACGGTATCAGTTACTAATCCTTTTGCTAACGTTAATTCATTGTTCATAACTGTTTTCACAGTTTGCTACTGATTTAAAGTTTTGTTTTTATTACATTGGGGGAATATTTTCTTGCCTTCATAGTAATCAGCTGCTGACCATCTGAATGCAGCTTCACTTAACTAACAATTTTCAGAATTGTCATGACTTTGAAATCCCTGGCCAGTGGCTGTCGCCTTAAAGTGGGTAGCATGTTGTAATGACTCAATGAGGGATATGACCAGAAGTAGTTACTTTCATTGTATGAGTAGGTTGGACTGCACCGAGCGTCTGAAGACTTAGTCATAGCGTTGTAGAATGAAGCTGTGACAGCGGTGTGATGTTTTCCCATAAGATACAGAATGTTAGCTTCAGTGGGTTCCTGCTATATGAGGGATTAGGAAGGGTCTACCTGAGAAATCGTACAACCTGACTTACTCTGTGGCAATGCGAGGAGGCTGTAAAGTTTCCAAACGTACAAAACTGCACGGATTTTGTCATTTTTAAAAGTTCCTGTGTGGTGAAATTGAAGTATCTACTCTGTGGACTCAATGTTTACGTAGAACTTGACCTTCTCTTTCACGTATTATAAGGAGGAACTAACTTTGGACACCCATTTACTTCGGTTAGCATTTGTAAGTCTTTTTACTTATTTTCATGTTGTTCTCGAAATGCACTCTTATTGTTGACACTTGTGCATACATCTGTTTTATGTCCTCGTACTTCTGAAATCACAGCTGGATAACCCAGTGAATTACCATTGCCAATAACTTGAGACGTGCTGTTAACCTAATATCAAATCTTTCAACACCTTAGTATTACTCCAATGAGACTAACAGACTATGAGACATTGGCGTATGTTTGGAGCGCATATACAAAATCCAAGTAAGCTTATCCATCTAATCGCATCTGACCAACGTAGTGAATCTGTGAAACACCGTGTGTTTAGTGAGACTGTGACCAGTCGTCGTGAGAATGCTGGTACAGTGCTGCCACAGACATAAAGGGCTTGTTTGGCACCTGCGAATTTGCTTCATTTATAAACCCTAAGTGACATCCACTTATCCTTAAAGGACGAGAGTGTTTCACAATGGTGTTTTGTGGCAGCTATCTGTACTTATTGGCCGGCCTTGAGTGACATTAGTTGACAAATCAACCTGAGACTTTGTACATGAACGCAGCATTTCAGGATGCCACACTTCGAAAGTCAAATCGAAGTAAATGCAAATGTTCCATTCGGATGTTGGGTTGCAGGGATTTGATTTCTATCTCGGTAGATTTTGTCACTAACTGATATCAGGAAGCACTGTACAGCCCTTTCGTTTAGTTTGGAACGCCTCAACAGTGTGCACCATTTACTTCATCAGTGATCAAATGTGGAGACCTCATTTCGAAAGCCAATCCTGTCTACCATTCAGCCACCGATTCGGAGTCCAGTGACCTGTGGATTCTAACTTCTGTCAGTTCATGATATAGCGCCACGGCTATCCGATTCCATTCGCGAGTATCCGTCATCACACCCGAAACTTGGAAGGTGATCCACTGGTCATTAGTGGTTAAGTTACTGTCTTTTTGGGGTTCCAACACGATATCCTGACCGGTGAGACGCATTGTATCGTGTGTTAATTGAAGTTCTTGTGTCAAAGTTAGTCGGATAGTTGTAAGACTGTTGGCTGAATAAATGACTAGTTAGATGTTTCATTTCGTACTGTAGTAAGCAGTCCGACAGATCCTAGAACAAAGACACACTTTTAGGCGTCCAACAATTGCCATATTTCTTGACTTGAAGGCGGCCTTCGACTCCGTGGATCGAGAGGTACTATGGCAATGTTTGACTGTGAAGGGAGTGCCAAGAAAGTACATTGCACTAATCAAGGCACTCTACTCAAACTCACGTAGCCGTGTAAGAGTTTATGGGGAATTGTCATCTGAATTGATAACAACCAGTGGTGTCCGTCAAAGATGTCCACTCTCCCCATTCCTGTTTAACTTCATCATAGACATGCTAATGGAAGTATCCTTAACTGAACTTAACGACTTAGGAGTCGACTTGTTACCAGGGAATAGTCTTATGGACTTAGAATATGCAGATGACATAGTCCTGTTAGGGGGGGGGGATGCTGACAAAATGCAGAGTTTTCTGAACAACTTGAGCAGCAATCTTCTTATGTTTGCCATGCGATTCGCCCCTGTAAACTGTAAGATGCTGCTACAGGACTGGACTACGTCAACCCCTAGCTTAGCGATAGGGAGTGAAGTGATAGGACATGTTGACCGCTTCACCTATTTGGGAAGTTATATCAGCACCAACGGACTGATTGGTGACGAAATCTCGGCACGGATCCAAAAAGCTCGGGCTGCTTTCGCTAACTTACACCATCTCTGGCGTAGGCGTGACATCCGACTATGAAACAAGGGACGTGTGTACTGCTCAGCAGTTAGCTCCGGCCTTCTCTATGGCTCTGAAACATGGCCAATACGAGTTGAAGACATGAAAAGGTTGACTGTCTACGATCTCTTTCTCACGTTAGGTGGCATAATAAGGTAAGTAATGTTGACGTTAGGCGTAGAGTGTTGGGCAAAGAGCTAAAATCAGTCGAAGAGGCTATACAGTTACATAGACTGAGATGGCTAGGTCACGTGCTGCGCATGCCTAACCATCGCCTCCCCCGACGGACGGGCATTACTAGCTGATATAGGTGCAGGTTGGAAAAGAGTATGTGGTGGCCAAACAAAAACATGGCCTCATCAATCCATGAAATCCTTGACAGTTAGTCAAACTGAGTCACGTAGGGAGATGCAGACTTCCGGGTTGGGGCCCACCCTCGGGACTCTAAGAATCAATGGCTGGAGACAATAGGTGACATGGCTCAAAATCGTTGTCAATGGTGCAGATGCAATCAGTCTCTGTAATCTTTCATATTCCTTTCTACCATTACTCATTCTGTTTCACTCTTATACTTGTCAAAACTATCGATTCTCTTCACTCATTTTCTTGTCTACCTTTGTGTGCTATTTGGAACGTGGCAACTCGAACTGCTGCACTTCGGTGCCAAGTTCTATGTTGAATCCAGCCAGCCAGTCAGAAAAAGTCAATCTTCTAACTGTCCTCCAATCAGTCCTGTTACTTTCTGTTACTGACACTAAGGTACTTACGTGTGGATTTAACTAAATATTTTGGCGTCCTTAAATATGTTGCATCTAATGGGCTTCAGATAGCTCTCTCAGGTTGACTTATTTCTTCTCTAGGCACAACTGATATATTCCACGAGCTATTTCACAACTGTCAATAGCCCATGCACCTATATGTACACACAGTTTGTCTGGTCGTCTTCTGTTTTCATCCCTCTTTTCAACATTCGTTACGTTTGCTGAAAACCTCACATTGTCTTCGTCTTCCAGCTGCATAAATCACACTACCAATTTGAATTCGTAAAGTAACGTAGGTTGTCTCTTTGTATCGATCGAAACTAAGTGCGAAACATCTGAATAATGTAACCGTGTCAGATTGACCAATAAAAAGGCAGAAAATTCAGTATACCAGGCCCCGGTTGTATTTTATGGTAGTAAGATGCATGCGAAATTCAAGTGCAATGATTCACTTAACCTCAATTGGTTGGAGTCTGAAGCCTGTACACTATGCACTCGCACGATACGTGGGCTGACAGTCAAGTCAAGCTTTAGGTTCCAATGCAGATGTATTTCTTCACTAGATGATAATAAATGTTTCGATGAGTAGCGTTTGGTTAAATGATGGTAGAAGGATAGTAGCACTTGCAGATGCCTTGTCAGTCTATACTTATGCAACCACTGGCTGCACGTCGAAACATGCTGAAACGATTCCCATCGAAAACTGTTCGGTCTGCTACAAACTTATGCCGCCTTCAGTTATTCCAGGAAGAACTGTCGGTCATTCTAGAGGATGTGCTAATTCTCTCATGCTTTTATCTGTATCAAAACACGCGTGAAAGGCGTGACAACGGTATTCTTTCTGAAGAAGCCTGGAAATATGCAGTATGTGGTTGTGAATTCATACTCTTCTACAGTAGTAAACAAGTTTGGTTCTTTCATCACTAGTCCGTTGTAGAAGCGTTAAGGGAGTAATGTTGCTCTTCCAAAACGCCTAGAAAGGAACAACTATATTTTAGGATATAAGAACCACTCTTCAACACTATCTAATTGTAAAGACACATGAGAGCATTCATAATAGCTATATGCACTGATACACAACGAAGTGATTGTAATTTCACAGTTTTCATGTATGTACTTTGTCTTTTGTACACACAAAAGTTATGTATCCATTTTCGTTTCCAGGAGCTCAGGCGGGGGAAAAAAGTCTCGTAAAGGTCGCAAACGGCAGCAAATCAGTGGGTAAGTTTAATTTTCAGTGCACAGACCGTGAGTTTATCAGCCTGTAGATTTATATATATTCAATTTAAATTCAATACAGCAACCCAAAATCTGCAATTACCTCTAGATTTGTTGACATTGATCTATTACTGTATCTCAAAGGATGTCTTCACTGTTGGAATTTCCGTTAAATATTTCACTTTTGGTCTGAATCAAAAACTTCTTCACTAAAGTTCACAATCCCACGGTTTCTTAGGTGTACGGAGGTACTTGTGAGAATGAGAAGCAGTATTATGGCGAAATACTTAGTGCCATTTGTCATTCGAAATACCTAGGGAAGTATATAGTGCTAACTACCACGTCTTCGTCACACAGAAATCAGAAAGTCATCTCAACTAAAAGATACGTGGAATCGGAAATCGAATGTCAAGTTGTATATCACTGAGAAGCATGCATAACTACCCTGGAATTCTACCCACCAATCTCCTAATCGTAGATACATATGAACTTCTTCATGGTAGGCTGGCTTATAGTGATCTGCACTGTTGATATTCCCATAACCACCACTCATCGTGGCATTAGTTGATTCCGAGTCAAAGAACTCACACAAACCTCCAATAGTCACTCCTCTGACGCATAACACTAATATCTCGAAATATACAACTAGTGTTTGATTGCCAGTCCTGTACATCGTTTAGGTTTCAGTATGAGAATTGAGAATAGTCTATCTGATATCTAGCGAATGGACCAGAGTTACTCAATGCGTTCGGATAGTAACGGAGAATACAACCGTCCATAATGGTGATACGAGAGATCATTTAAGACTAAGGAATATATAAGGAGAATGCCTGAAGTTACTGAATGATGTACATACTTGATATGAACTTGAATTGAGTTCAGCTATTGTAATTGGGTGTAAGTGAATGATGGTGTCTATTGGGCTAATGTATGCTGGAGTTTCATTTCCAGCAGAGGGCATTATTATGAGTTCCTGTGGTGTGTGATACCACCCTAGTGTTCTGGTTTAATTATTAGTGGGTTTACAGATGAAGATATTCAGTTTATTGTTACTTGGACTGTTGGTGTTACAGACTTAATAGCACGTGTCAGACATTGAATACGAAGAGGATGAGAAGTGATCGTGTTACACGAGATGATAATCTGTACAGCAATGTTGTTGTTATTTATCCTAGTTTTGGTGAATGGTGAAGTTGATGAGTGAAACAGTAATTTAGTATGCACCCGTTTATAAAACACTGACTGTGTTGCCTACCATTCTGAGATTGTATTAATTTCCTTCATGTTGATTGGCTGTTCCATATGATTAGTGATCTAGTCCTTGATGTGTTCTGATTGTGAACGATGGTCGTTGGTATTTTATCAAGGAGTAAGTATAGTTGTATTTTGATGTTTGGATGTTTGTGTCTGTTGAATGTAAATGAATTTAGTTGTATTACGTTTAGTGTTTTGCTGTTTGATGAGAATATAAATTATATTTCTTCATGAATTCATTATCATAATATTCACTTTCTCCTCCATTCTAATATCAGTCCATCTGCTGTTCAAGAGGGCATGGACCGTGGTGACCACTCGTCAAATGCCACACATGAAGGGTAAGATGAAGTAAATTTTTACATGAATAATTGACTGTACAGATATGTGGTGTTGTTTCATTTGTCCTTATTCGTGTAGTTGTCACATGTATGTCGCTTGATTTGAGTCATTAAATGGGCATGGGTTTTTTGTAGGAGCAGAATTTCGGCATTGTGTTAGGGCATTATTTCATATTAGATAAGTTTATTTGATGAAACACATTGATAAAGTATTCACAACTAAGTGACTCTTTGAGTGCAGCTTGTTGTCACCCATAACCATACAAATGTATTTACGTGATGTCCTGACTTGCTTTACATAGCTTTAATCCCTCTTGTTTTTTAAGCATATTTAAGATAGATGTTGCGTCACTGCTACTCCATGTGTTTGGTTTATATTCAGTGAACAAGAATTGGGTATTTAACGTTGATCCGGTGGCATATATACTACGATTGGAATGCTACAGATAAATCAACTTTATAATACTTTCACCGTATCCGACCCTCATGTGATTATATGCAGGTTTATGCATTGCATTAATCAATTATTTAATTTAGCGTGGTCAACCATTCCAGATGTACTAACATTCTTGTAGTCTGACAACCCATTAAGGCCGATCTACTTGTTGACCTATGTAATTGACCACATAATCATTACATGGTATTTAGAAAATTATATCATACCTAATTGGGTCCATCGGGTTATTAAGACTAAGAAGTTCACCTCTGAGTGAGTTGATTGGTTTGAATGCCATCCTAATCTCAGTCTTATCAAGAACCCTACGTAGTTGAAGCCTTTTAGTTTACTTCATTTTGTTCTCCTAATGTGACAAGAATCATGATCAGACATGTCATCACATGGCTGAAAATTTAACTTCATTTGTATTTCAATGTGATTCAAGTTTAGTAAACATGCCGTTGTTGCAGTTAGGATATACTTCACCTCTCGATAAATCGTGTTCTGATAAAGTCAATTAGCCTTGTAGTGAAACATTCATCATACAACATCAGATATTGGAGAGAATAACAGATATTCGTCACTTTCATATGTGCCTGATAAATTTTAAAGCCTGTTCAATCTGTATGGTTTTTGCTTGTTTATTATGTCCGGATAGTTATTGTCTGAAATTATGTGAAGCGGTGTGTATGTTTGAACATGTGAAACTGTGGAACCAATAATTGTGGTTGTATACAATGTTTCGAAAGAATCTGCACTTCTCAACTGTCCTCACCGTAATGATTTCATGGTTATTTTCTATGCTTTCTCTGTTTCTCAGATTGTTATTGCTTTGTTTGTTAGGTCCTCCTTGTCTACATCAGTGTCTCCGGGTCCGTCTAGTGGTTTGGATGTTCCACCTTCTTCGAAGGAACCAATAGTTCCTTCAGAAGCCGCACGGCAGAAGAAAAGTCATCCGAAATTGGTGTCAACGTAAGTTGTCTAAACGACAGTTTTCATAGACCCATAAATCTCATGTTTCACAATGTCTACTGTATATATTTATTTTGTCTTTTAGGTCTCCACTTTCGGAAGAAGTTTCCAGGTAAGCTTTCGACTCTTATGTGTGTGCATTACATCAATATGTAATTACCCTCTTATTCATTTGATCACTGAAGTCTTTGTTTATTTATTTTTTTTTCAGGCTGAGTTTGACTAATGTGTCTATTCCCAGCAGACCAGACAAAGGCGGTAAGGTGGGGAAACCGACAACTGTCATTGTGAACTGTTGGGATTTCTCTGTCCAACCGAAGGTTCTATACATGTACCGTGCAGAGGTTAACAAAGTGTCTCGCATCAATGATAAAGATGCAGTAAAGTGTGAAATACGAATGTCTCCGAAAGATAAACGTGATTTAATTTCACGCATTACTGAGAAGTTAGTAGTAGTAGTATTATTTAGATGTGCAACGGTGTCATTTTTCACGTTAATTACATTTTCTTAATATTCATTTCTTAATATTGTGTGTGTGTGTTTCATAGTTAGGAGAGATGTTAACTTTGATATTGTGCATGAGATTGCATTATTACTCTCAAATAGTAAGTTAGTACTCTGTTAACCAAGTTTACTAGTTGACTGCTCAAAATGCAGGTAGTACGCATCATTGTTGTGTTTATAATTGACTGGTTGAATATGTATATGTATATATATATAGTTTAAATATCCCCCCATAATGATAATTGTGGAGCACGATTTAAGCAAATACTAATAGTAGTGGTGGTGGTGGTAGAGTGGGAAATAACTACTGTCACAGCGATTAGATGATATAATAATAATAAATTGTGAAACTGAGAATGAAATATACAACTACAGCACAACAGGATATTGATAATACCAGTTAGCATTACAAGTAAAGTAAAATAAAAAAAATATGATAAGGTAATATTTACAGTTATCCGGTGCCACCGGAAGAGATAACTATTTTAGGTTGGAGACGAAGGTCAAGGGAGGGAGAGAGATTGCACAAACTTTTCGTGAATACAGATATCGGGGTGAAAAATCTTTGTGGCGACTGCCTCAAGTGTGCTTAGCAACCGAAGAAGTACCAAGGTGGCATTTTGTATCGAATTGTAAAAGCTGAATTTTGTCAATCTTATTCTCCGTATCCACAAGGTGTGCCAGTATGGAACTTCTGACTGACTTTACGACTCCGCTACCGAACCATGTTGGACAGTGCTCCAGAAGGCGACGATGGACTTACCGAGTTGTTCTACCTATGTAACTGTCTCCACATGAACAGTTAAATTTACAAATGCTCATTGAAGTGGCCAGACTCAGTAGCTGATCCCTCGCCTGATTTGGAATTATATAACGAGTGGCAAATTTTAAACACAGTGTTGCGGCAAAGAATATTTAAGCTATTATTTTTCTAAGTTTCGATGCCAGTAATTCGGTTGCTGCGTATCCCTTGAACGGTAAAGTATATATATATACATTTCTTCTGCATCATTTGCAGGCATTTCTTTCTGTCTGTTCTCCTCATCGAGACTTTAACAAATTTTTCGGGGTTTGCGTTCTCGTATAAAATGTTCTCTATTTTCCTTATTTCATTGTCTAGAATTTCGGCTGTGCAGATTTTTCTAGCACGGTACTGATAAGTTTTCGTTTGTATGCAAGAAGAACAAACGACTGTAAATGGGTGTATTGGCCAAGCCACGAGTTCTTCCGGAAAATACCCCTGTTAATAATGCTATTTTTCCTTCTTGTTAGCAGGACATCGAGGAATGATAGAGTGTTGTCTTTCTCCTTTTCATATGTGAACTCAATTTGTGAGTGAGCCACACTGAACTGAACGCTTGGAGAAGGACCTCGGCATTGATTTAATTATTATGCAGGGTAAAAGTGTCGTCCATATATCTACAGTAGAATGAGAGTTCGTTGAGTGGATGATTCTCTCATTTTGCCATACACATGTCGGCTTAAATCGTGTTAAAGACTTGTGCCTGCCTGGCAATTCAAAGACCAGTGGTTAGAATCCTACCGCGATTAGAGTTCTGATTTCATCTGTAATCACCACCTGTTACATCAGTGACAGTTTTTCAACTCAGGGTTATCGCAGATAATCCGATTATTGACTCATGTAAAACAATGTTTTACTTGATTCTTCATTTGATATAGATGAGGATACTTCACAGCCTCGTCGATTGATTTCCACTCCTTACCTGTTGAGTGGTGTAGTAGGGTGAAGTTACACCGGTTGAGATGGTTAGGACATGTGTTGTGCATGCCTAGCCATCGCCTTCCTCGACAGTGGGCAGTGTTAGCTGACATAGGATCAGGTTGGAAAAAAGTCAGTGGTGGTCAAACCAAAACATGGCTTCATCAGTCAATGAAATCCACAATGGTTAGTTTAAGCCAAACAGCCAGTCACGTAGGGAGGTGTAGACTTCCTGATTTGTTAGTGTCCTCGCGACGGTAGAAATGGATAGCTGGAGACAATTGGTGATACAGCTCAAAATCGTTCTCAATGGGTGGGGCAGATACATTCATTCTTTGTGACTTATAATATCCAATAAAGCCAAATTATTTTTCCATATTGCTATTCGTTTTGACCTCATATTTCTGTTTATTATCTTCTCTTGCTTTGTGTGCTACATGGAGGGAGGGAGAATGACAACTGGAACTGCTGCGCACACCTGTGCAAAGTTCTACGTTGACACCAGTCTGTCAGTCAGCCAGAGGATAAGATAGATAGAAGAAAAATTAAAAAAAGGTATATAAATGATTGTACCGTTAAGAATAATAAATTGTTTCATTTTGTACACCTGCAACATACTCTCAGGAAAATAAGTGCTCTTCAAAACAACTTAAATCTTCAGATTCCACAACAGATAGAGGTAAATTTATTCATTTGTATGTAACAAATTGAAGTCAAACACTTTTATCAACTGGTGTACACATCTCATGTTTGAAAGTTTACTATGCTGAGTGGTTGTCCTATGTCAAAGGAAGTGATGCGATAGCTTGAAGTGTAAACAATTGAACTAATTGGTGAAGCTTGCACAAATAACTTGAAGTATGTAAACAGTAAGAATAATTAACGAGAAGCCTTTTTCGCGTTTTTGGTTTTTTTCTTTCTAACAAAATTAACATATGTTTACTCTGTTCCTCTATTTGCGTAGACTACCTCAAATGATAGTTTACGATGGGGGTCATGATATATATTCTTTGGAGCGCCTGCCTGGAATAACCACAGACCCAGTGAAGAAAGAAGTTAGCATCAGTGATCCATTGGGTCGTGGTGATCTCCTCCTGGAGTACCAAATAATGGAAGTTAAGAAAGTATCAACTGACGATGTCTATGAGTATGTACGTAACCCTAAAGCTACGTCGCTGAACATTCCACAAGTAAGGCAGAATTACGTTTACAACCGTCTTTAGGAATGTATAAGACTATTGGACTGTATTGTGAAAACTGTGTCCAAACAATCCTTTGTATCCCTTGGACGTGCAGCCTTATTTCAAGAAGAGCCAATCAAGGTGGTGGCAAACAAACTTTTCTCTATCCACAAAGGTTTTATAAGCAGCGTCAGGCCACAGTGGAAGGTTCGTGTCAACTTGGACATGGTAAGTGATGACATTACCTCTTTCTATGCTGTCACAGACTTGTAAAGCTTACTTTGTATCAGGAAATCTTGCGGATGTTATGTACGAGAAATACGGAGATGAAATGGTCAAATATAGTAAGCAAATAGCGTTAGACTTGCGGAGGATACGAGTAGAAACTGACAAATTCTACAAAAGCGATAAAGGTATGCCTCTGTTTCTGTTATCCCTTATACGATTTAGGGAGTGTGTACTCTCGACGCTTCACAGTGCATGGGATATCATCATTACCAGCGGATAAATTGATGATTCAAGAGTTAAAGCAGTCAGTGGCGGATTATTTCAAGGAACATCATCATATCATCTTGAAGTATCCATACCTTCCTTGTGTAAAGGTAATTTGACAATTCAATGTACATTTCCTTAGGTCGATCAAAAGCGTGACGTGTATATCCCTATGGAGTTGCTGAACATTTTACCATATCAGCCTCCTAATGCTAGTAAAGCCGACGTAGCTAGTGAAGTGATCCGCTGTGCGGCAGTTCGACCAGCGGAACGTTTTCAGGAGCTTCAAACCTTCGTTAATAATATGTTCAAGTAAGAGAATTTTCTTTGATATCATTTATTATGCATGCCCTAATATACCATCGTTCTATCAGTTACCGTTAAAGGGGATCCGTAGCACTCTACACCCATCTTACTACCTTTTACCTGAGGGGGAGACATTGAGTGTGTCAAAGTGAACTACACAGTGATGCAAGGTCGCAGGTTAATAATAATGGCTGTCTAATCTATGGTGGGTAGTTTGCACGTGCTCTAGTATATGATTAGTCGACACAGGTTTCCAGAAAACTGCATCAGTAACTTCTGCTACTTGTGACTGAAAGTGAAGTAAGAGTAAGTGAATGAAGTAAAGTAACTAGTATATGTCGTCACCATGATGATGATGATGATGATCAAATGGTGGGCAGTTGTGTTGGACTCGAATGTATGGGTGAGTAGAGAGGCAGATGTGGATTTTCATTTCACCTCCACTTCAATCATCACCCAATGCATCAGCAGTAGTAGTGATCATCTACCAATGCAATTCTATCTATATATATTGTGTCAGTGCCATTTGTTATTTTATGTGGTGCATGTGTTATTCTTCTTCTTATTGTTATCCCCTTTGGGATTGGAAGTGGGAGATGGGGCTTCAACAGCACACCACCATTTTGTCCTGTTGTCTTCAGTCCCCTTTAGTAGCTGGCTGCACAACTGCACATTAGCTCGGATCCCCCTACACGATCTCCTCGACGTCAGCTTCGGACAGCCGACTGTGACTTGTCGTTTCGGATTCGGGCTCCATTCGAGTGTCTGATGCACAGTGTCACTCGACAGGCTCCTCATTGTGTGTCCGATGGATCCTCACTTTCTTCGATGTATTTGTTGGGCGACAGGTTGCTAGTTGGTTGGTTCCCAGAACTCCTTGATGTGAATTTTTCCTGACTGGCCATCTGATTCTCCTTAGGGAGCGAAGTTGACTGTTGATGGATGTGTGCAGTAGCCTGTTGTAAATGCTTTCTGCGACTTGCTCGCCGGACTTCTGACCCATATTGACTTGACTTAACGTTGGTGTTGAGAATCGGAGTCTTGTTCTTTATGCAGAATGCAGGAGACTTCTACACTGATTTCGGATTGATGAATGTCTGTCTTACCTCGTGGATTGTGTTGTGACATTGTTATGCGTGGCGTGGGCCTGTGGTTGAAACGATGCAACCTAGATAAGCGAAGTGAGTGACCTTTCTGAAGTTTATTCCGTTATTACTTGATTGGTGTTTGTTATTGTTGTTTGGTTATCCTCGTTGTTTCTGTGTTCACTTGAAGTGCTGTCTTTGGTGGTTCTTCTGACGATCTGTTGGTTTCCGCCTGTAAGTCTTCCGATTGATGTGGCATGAGACATGAGTCATCCTCCAAGTTCAAATTTCTTGTATCTGTGTGCCGTATCTCCTCATTTCTTTTGCAACCTAGTCCGTCTTCTCAACTTGTTTTATTGTCGGAGCATTCCACCTCCCTATCGTTCTATCTGCTTTCATCGAAAGAAGACACTTGGTTTGACTGTCTGCCTGAAGGCCTACACCAGCTGGCGTCATTCGATTCCAACATAAAATAAGCTTTCTTTATTTATTAAGAAGACGGTTGCAGGGAAGAAAATTTTCTTTTCCACGAAGTCATCAGCTAGGCTGTACATTCGTGTATTTATAACAAATGGATGGGAAAGTTCGAGAATAATTTCCCTGATTGTATAAACAATTATTCGTCACATTAGTAGTTATGATCCCACTTGATTTTTTATCCAAACATCCTGTCTATTTTTGTTATTACTACATTTCTAACTCCGAATTGCATAAAATGTCAATCTTCTCAGTAATTATGGTGCTACTTTTTTGATTTTTATCTGTCCCTCTGTTTATAATGGGATTTTAATTCCTAATTATAATTTTATTAATTTGACCCTTAACCGGAAATAATTCTGGAACTTTCCCATCCATTTGTTAAAAATACACGAATGTACAGCCTAGTTGATGACTTCGTCGAAAAGAAAATTTTCTTCGCTGCAACTGCTTTCTTTATTTCCGTTGTTCTTTAAACTTTCTGTGGTAGCATCGCTACCTACAGCACAGACCAAACTAATTTTTCCAGCAGTAAAAATTCCAGTATTAATCTTCACTCGGAAATATGATGAATACTAAAGACGAGAACAGAAGCATAATATTAGACGAATGCTTTGCAGGGATTGTGATAATGCATATATGCTGTCCGTTGTGTTACCTCGAATTTTAAGCTTGAACAAACTTGAGGAAAATGAAGTATCCTTTCTAAACTGTTACTGGAGGTCATGGGGGAATGGCTGTTAACTATTGTTTGTTTTCCAGGCAGATACAACGAACATTTTATTTTGTCTAAATTTTGTGAGGATGCAGAGAGTATTCCCATTGTTATATGTGGCAATCTCCAGCTAGTGTGACTATACAACACGAGTTATGAAATTACGTAAACCTGGAATGCACTGAAAACGAAAAAACATCAAACTAGGGTAATGTTTGTTGACTGTCTGATGGTGAAGCAAACTTCATTGTAGTGTAAGTATGTGTGAATGAAAATAATCTGTGTGTGACAGTGTGTAGGTCTAGTGGTGATATTTTAAGATTGCTTCATAATTTGTTTTTCGTAATTTAGAAGGATTTCCCTTGACATAATATTTCTTTCACTTCTTCTCCCTAGATCACACCCACTGATTAAACAATTCGGCTTGGCAATCCAACCGAAGCCAGTGGAAATTAAGGCACGTGTTCTCCAACCGCCAACTGCTGACTTTGGTTGTTCAGGTGTGCAGGCTCTAAAGGCGGGTAGTTTCAACTCACCCGGTTTTCATGACCCTGCCGGAAAAGAAGGGGAATTGATGTGGGCTATACTTAGTGTTCCACCTAATCAGGTATGTTTTCCACTACGGTTCTATGTTAGGATGTGATGTTTTATTAAAGATGTGTGCCATCATCGCTTAAGCCATTAAATTAACATTCTAGACGAGGTCATTTGTTAGTTGAAGTTAGCTTACCAGTTGTGTCAACACCGAAGAATACTTTTCGTAGTTTCATGACAGCCTACTCATTTCATCGTTTTCACCGCATTATGTCCACGGCAATATATCATCATTCCCTCTGATTTGTCAGTTTTTAATGCTCTGCATACAAACCTGAAATTGTGTTTGTCTCTTTATAGAAGAGACGAAATCCTGTTAGATAAGCAGATCAGTCTGAGAACTCTGTACTTGATTCTGATTTACTGTAAGAAAAAAAGCGTATATTAGTGTTATTACCAAATTGGAATTCTAGAACTAACTAATCATTCTCTCTGTCCCTTTTTGTTTTCAGTGGGCTGAGGGTAATGCAATAAAGGTGAAGAAGGAATTGCCTGAAGCTGCCAAACGCTTCGGTGTTCGTTTAAGCCCCAGTCCAATAGTGTCAAAGTGCTTTAAAAGAGAACTTAACAGAAAGTTTGATGAGTTCTCGAGACAAAACTGCGCGTTTCTGCTGCTTATCCTTTATGATGAGGAGTCCTATTCAGAAATAAAACGTCTCAGTGACCTACAAATGGGCATTCGCACCCAATGTGTACGAAGTCGTACTTTGGGCAAACCAAACGTATTCCGTAAGTATTTACGATCATTTACTTATAGCGTTTAGTGTATCTCCCTATTTGGGCGTGTTTAATGTAGTTTTCTGCTTTCAGCGAACCTGGTGCTCAAGCTCAATGGCAAACTCGGTGGTGTTAATTGGCGAATACCAGGCCTGATTAAAAACAGTGAGGAACTGATAATGGTTTTCGGTGCTGACGTCACTCATCCGGCGCCCACCCAAATTCAGCAAATTCGCAAGTCAATAGCTGCTGTTATCGGCAGTGTGTCACCGGATCTAATGAGATATGCGGTAGTTGTCCGCCAACAGGCAACGACAGAGAAAGGCAATAAGGCGACGAGAGAAATTATTGATGATATGCGTCTCACCGTTAAAGAATTACTTCAGGTTAGTTTTCATTGACGACTGACTTGGCTTATTTACATTTCGCTTATTCCCTTTGTACACTTTTGTTCTTCCTTATTTGTATTCTATTGTAGCTTTACTTGCGAAATACAAATGGGCGTTTCCCAACACGAATGATATTCTATCGTGATGGTGTTTCAGAAGGTCAATTCGAAAATGTGTTAGTGGAGGAGTTAGCGGCGATTCAGAGAGCCTGCGCAGATATTCGTCCTGGTGTAGAGCCTGCTATCACTTATATTGTTGTGCAAAAACGTCACCACATTCGACTGAAACCGTCTGACCCAAGGTAAGGTATTTACTCATGATGTTTTCTGTGTACCCACTACACCTTAGTCGTATCTTTACCAGTCTTTTTAAATGCTTTGCTAGGGCGAGGAACGTTGAGCCAGGAACGGTGGTTGATACAGATATCACGCATCCCAGGGAATTCGACTTCTACCTCTGCTCTCAAGAAGGGATACAGGTAAATTATTTCCTTGTTCCTTCATGCTAATTAATTTTAGGGGACATCTAAACCTGCTCATTATCACGTTTTGTACGATGACAGTAATTGGACATCGGATGCTTTGGAAATGTTCACTTACTACTTATGCTACGGGTATATGAGATGTTGTCGTAGTGTGTCGTATCCAGCGCCAACTTATTATTCACATCTGGCTGCATTTCGGGCGCGTGACTGGTTATCGTCGGATCTAGAGAATCCAGAGATTTTGTTAGATGGTGGTCGTTTCAAAGTCCACAGAAGTCAAGTCGATGGCATGTTTTACTTGTAAACAATAGTGTCACCGCTTGTTGAACGAATTGCCTTCATCTTTGTGTCGATAGTTCTTTTTTCACATATATTTTGCAACCTAAACTACAGCTTTTTATTATGACTCCTGTTAGTTGTTTTTAGCATAGGGCTCCGGACGGACCTACAGCCGTTGCATTGGACACTGGATATGGTTGTGACCTTATTTTTGCTAAACAAATCACGTGATTCCGTTGGTCATGCAAACCAATTCTAACGATGCGAGTTCATGAAGTGACATATATTCTTTCTCCTAACCACATGTCGAAGATTTCAATGTTTATGTGTTAAGTCAGTCGGTTGATGGGCGTGATCGACTGAAATGTTGGGGTTTTCAGTCATAGTTATGTATTGTAAGATACACATGCGAGATCCTGATGTTGTTATTCACTTGACTAAAGTGGTGAGACTATACGTTCCACACTTTCGGTTGCTCTGGAATCGCATAGCTTTTCATGTATATGTGTAAGTATGCCATTCGGTTAGAAGGAAAGAAACACCACTAAATACTACTAATTTACAGTCGAGTTTGTGCTGTTCATTTTAATCGTGTTGTTAGAACTAAGGAGAATGATGGCACATACTGATATGTTTTTGAAGATCACCTACACTTTTGCTGACTGTGGATATATTGAGGTTTGGTATGCGTGAGAAAGCCAGAGATGTAGATGTGGTTTTCATTGGGCGAGGTGGGGTTGGTACAGTTACTGTATGAGTAGGAAGGATCAATCAAGCAAAAGCCGTGTTGGTGACTACCCAACTAATAATAATAATAATAGTAATAATAGCTTTATTCCAAACAGTATTTGTGGTACAGGTATGGAATTTTCAGCGTGCACTACAATATTGCATCTAATTAGCTCATAAATTTTATAAGATTTTAAAAATAAAAAGCAACAACAAAAAAGAAAAATAAAAGAAATAAAAAAGAACAGCATTGCATTCACATATTTAAACAATGCACCACAGGATATGAAATATAAAGTTAGTGTGTAATAGAATATGTGAGCAACAATAAAATAGTAACAAAGAAAGGAGAACAAAAGCTAGTGGGAACTATTTGTTAGAGTGCCGCAGTAAGTTGATCGTGTCATACCTAACGGATTTCTCATCACATAACAGCTGTGCCAGATAAGGTATTGTGGAGTTTTTGTACTAAAGTGTGGTTCTAAATATATCATAGTTCCATCTTGCTACACTTCACCCGACGTGGAGACATTGAATATGTCAAAGTGAACTACACAGTGATGCAAGGTCGCAGGTTAATAATAATGGCTGTCTAATCTATGGTGGGTAGTTTGCACGTGCTCTAGTATATGATTAGTCGACACAGGTTTCCAGAAAACTGCATCAGTAACTTCTGCTACTTGTGACTGAAAGTGAAGTAAGAGTAAGTGAATGAAGTAAAGTAACTAGTATATGTCGTCACCATGATGATGATGATGATGATCAAATGGTGGGCAGTTGTGTTGGACTCGAATGTATGGGTGAGTAGAGAGGCAGATGTGGATTTTCATTTCACCTCCACTTCAATCATCACCCAATGCATCAGCAGTAGTAGTGATCATCTACCAATGCAATTCTATCTATATATATTGTGTCAGTGCCATTTGTTATTTTATGTGGTGCATGTGTTATTCTTCTTCTTATTGTTATCCCCTTTGGGATTGGAAGTGGGAGATGGGGCTTCAACAGCACACCACCATTTTGTCCTGTTGTCTTCAGTCCCCTTTAGTAGCTGGCTGCACAACTGCACATTAGCTCGGATCCCCCTACACGATCTCCTCGACGTCAGCTTCGGACAGCCGACTGTGACTTGTCGTTTCGGATTCGGGCTCCATTCGAGTGTCTGATGCACAGTGTCACTCGACAGGCTCCTCATTGTGTGTCCGATGGATCCTCACTTTCTTCGATGTATTTGTTGGGCGACAGGTTGCTAGTTGGTTGGTTCCCAGAACTCCTTGATGTGAATTTTTCCTGACTGGCCATCTGATTCTCCTTAGGGAGCGAAGTTGACTGTTGATGGATGTGTGCAGTAGCCTGTTGTAAATGCTTTCTGCGACTTGCTCGCCGGACTTCTGACCCATATTGACTTGACTTAACGTTGGTGTTGAGAATCGGAGTCTTGTTCTTTATGCAGAATGCAGGAGACTTCTACACTGATTTCGGATTGATGAATGTCTGTCTTACCTCGTGGATTGTGTTGTGACATTGTTATGCGTGGCGTGGGCCTGTGGTTGAAACGATGCAACCTAGATAAGCGAAGTGAGTGACCTTTCTGAAGTTTATTCCGTTATTACTTGATTGGTGTTTGTTATTGTTGTTTGGTTATCCTCGTTGTTTCTGTGTTCACTTGAAGTGCTGTCTTTGGTGGTTCTTCTGACGATCTGTTGGTTTCCGCCTGTAAGTCTTCCGATTGATGTGGCATGAGACATGAGTCATCCGCGAAGTTTAAATCTTTTGTGGTCTTCTTATTGGTGCCTTGTATTTTTGTGTTCTCACTCCTGACTGTCGGTTTGCCGCTTGGTTGAGTCCCCCATTTTCAGTGATATCATTGGTAACGGTATGTAGTCCTGTTTTACTCTAGTCTTCAGTGCAAGGAGGCCACTGAAATTTCCATTGTGGATCATTTGGCATGTGTGGTGTGGTCATATAGAGTTGTTGAGTGAGATTGACAGCGGTTTGGAGCACTCCGTAGTGTTGGATCAGCTCTCAAATTGCTTCGTGGTCAACATCGTGGAAGGCGTTTTCAGAGTCGGTGAAGTGTAGCTTGTGGTCTGTTGAGTTGTGATGTGTGGCATTGAGATTTGACCCGACAGAAATTGATTTTCCTGTATGCAGCTTGCTCTTGTCGGAGTTATAGATGTGGTGTGACAATAAACTATCTACAAACTTCAATCACAAATGTGAAAAAATGACAAATTCAGTATATCTGATCGCCACTCATAGTTTCAATCAACAAAATGATGATAGTAAATACGGAAAATAGCCAGCCAGTATAGCGTAGGAAATGGTTGTTATAATATGGCTGAGTAGTTATGAAGTCATTAGCAGTATATACGAAAACAGTAAGGAAGATTTGTACTCTTCTTCCATTAGATAGCCGAATATGTAGGAATTGTATGATCTGTATAGTGTCCTGCTTTCACGGGTGTATTTTATGCATCCTATGAAATTGTGGGTGATAGGACAATTTCTGAATAACTGAAGATCCAAAATTATTTGGTGATATCGTTAAATCGTATACTCTCGAGTTTTATTGAGTGTCTGTGGATGTGTGTCTCGTGGAGGCTTTTTGGCTTCCATCGTTATCAGTGCACACAGAGTGAAGAGCCATTAAGTAGAGGAGTTGCATTGGTAGAAGGAAGGCAAGATAATAGAGATGAAGATGAAGACAAAGATGAGTGAGGATTAGCGAGGTTTCGCGTGCACTTCGGATTGTGAGGGCGATTGTTACTTCCCGGCTGCCCACACCGTGGAAGTTGGTTGCGTGACCGGAGAGCCAAGGGGACAACTGCTTGAGGCCGGTCACACACTGCCTGTTTTTGTTTGTTCTTTTTTATTTGGTGTGTCTCAGTAGCGTATTTATCACTTCTGCCCTGTGACACGGCAGCAGAAAGCGCGGTCGTTGTTAATCCGGGCCCCGACCGATCCGGCATGATATTTTGTGATTTATTTGAAGTCATAGGATTGGATTGGGTAACTGCTTTTAGTCTAACTGCTATCCAAACAACCTTTCTGGCATGGTAGGACCTGCAGGAACATAAGTTCCAGCCAGTATAGCTTGTTGGGTCATTGCAGTGTTCAAGCCCGATCACCACGTCAAGGTAACAGCTTTAGGTCGGGTAAAAGTGGTGTCAGGAGTGGGATTCGAACCCACGCCCACAGAGTGCACTGCGACCTGAACGCAGCGCCTTGGACCGCTCGGCCATCCTGACCGTGCGTGCATTACATCAATATGTAATTACCCTCTTATTCATTTGATCACTGAAGTGTTAGGTAAGGCGGGGAAATCAATCGACGAAACGGTGAAATTACTTCGACTGAGATGGTTAGGACATGTGCTACGTATGCCTAGTCATCGCCTTCCTCGACGGGCAATGTTAGCTGATATAGGGCCAGGCTGGAAAAGAGCTAGCGGCGGTCAAACGAAAACATGGCACCAGTCAATGAAATCCACAACAGTTAGTTTAAGCCACGCAGGAAGGTGTAGACTTCCTGGTTGGGGTCCTCGGGATGGTAAAAACCAATGGTTGGAAACAATTGGTGACATGGCTCAAAATCGTTCTCAATGGCTAGCGCAGATGCATCCACTCCTTGTGACTTATGATTTCCAATGAAACTGTTTTGTTCTTCGTTATTACTATTCCTTTGTCTCACACCTCTGTTTACTGTCTCTATTATGCATTTCTTCTACTTTCTTCTCTTGCTTTGCATGCTACATGGATTGTGGCGACTTGAACTGCCGCACATATGTGCAAAGTTCTATGTCGAAAACCGACAGACCGACCGTGTCTCGTGGACGTAAGCACTTGGATTCCAACCAGTGGATCCTAGTTTAGAATCGCGGTGAGCTAAACATCGTGTCATCTACCGCCACAAGTGAAGTTCATATCATGGTTTACGGAAAATCTGTTTCAGGAGACTGAGTTCTATCACTGTTAAATCACACCGATTACGAGAGTTGACTTAGTTGTCTAGTGGGGAACGCTTCTATTTTCGAAACGATGATTGCCACTGTTGAATCTGAATGCGAATACTGTCACTCAGCTTATAAGTCTCTAATAGTTTGAGATTTATATTCTGGGTGTTCAATAACCACTGCATGACAACATTCAAATCGAGGGTGCGGTTAAGTAGTTCATTCTAGGAAGCTGTTTACTGGCACTAACGAGGCATATATGTCCAGTGTGACAAATAACGAACTGGTTACCCTCGCTGTTAACATTCATGATTGTGTTACTTTGTCATGAAAATCATATT